ATCAGCCATGTGCTTACAAACCTAAGCTCTTCACCCAGACCTCATGAGTTGCTTCCAGGCTTCCTGCACTTCATTGTCCTTCTTCCTCTTTTTTTCTAGCAGCCATGAAGCTGCTCATGGGTCTACAGATCTGAATGGCCACCAGCACCTCGCACACAAGCCTTTGGTTCACTGAATGCTCCTGTTGGAGTGGCCAATCTGTCAGTTCCCCTTTGGCCTCTTTCGGTCTTTAACACCCTATTTTCTATCTTACAGGTTTTTGTTGTTGTTGTTTTTGTTGTTTTGTTTTGCTTTTTTGAGACAGAGTCTCGCTCTGTCACCCAGGCTGCAGTGCGCTGGTGCGATCTGGACTCATTGCAACTTTTGCCCCCTGGGTTCAAGCAATTCTGGTGCCTCAGCCTCCTGAGTAGCTGGGACTACAGACACGTACCACTACACCTAGCTAATTTTTGGCATTTTTAGTAGAGATGGGGTTTCACCATGTTGGCCAGGGGGTTCACCATGTTGGTCTCGACCTTCTGTCCTCAAGCGATCTGCCTGCCTCGGCTTCCCAAAGTGCTGGGATTACAGGCGTGAGCCACCGCGCCTGGTGTATCTTACAGATTTTTGATTCACTATGTTTTCCAGAGGCTGGATGTTAAAATTCAGTTTTAATGTGGTTTGAGATGGCTGAGTGTCCTGTGGATGTCCTAAAGAATGGCAAGAAGACTGAGACATCTGCTAATCACATTCCTCCCTGGTTTAGCAGATAAATAGTACCATGTTGAGAATACAGCTTATCTCCCCAGAATGATGGTGGTGTAACACCTTATGACTCGATCCATTAGTGCAGGCATTTCCAAGAAGGCCTCTCCCAGCTCTACGAGGGATGCCTGTGTCCTTTTTCATCTCTACCCTAACTAACCCTACCTTCTGAGGGATTCTAAAGCAGAGCTTCTTAATTATTAGGGTGCCTAGGAATCACCTGGAAGTCTTGTCAAAATGCTGATTCTGGCCAGGTGCAGTGGCTCATGCCTATAATCCCAACAGTTGGGGAGGCTGATGTGGGAGGATGGTTTGAGGCCAGGAGTTTGAGACTGGTCTGGGCAACATAGTGAGACCCTGTCTCTACAAAAAGATTAAAAATTAGTCCAGGGTGAGTAGCACATATTTGTAGTCCCAGCTACTGAGGAGGCTGAGGCAGGAGGATCAGTTGAGTCCAGGAGTTGAAGCCTGCAGTGAACTATGATCAGGCCACTGCACTCCACCCCGGGCAACGGAGTAAGACCCTGTCTCTTGAGGGAAAATAAAAACAAACTCTGATTCAGTAGCTCTGAGGCCTGTTGAGAGAGTGCACTTACAGAAACTCTCAGTGGTACTGCTGCTGCAAGCCCACAGACTAACCACACTTTGAGTAGCAGGAGTTTGAAACTTTTATTCCTGGCTGGCTACAGGATGGCCCAGACACCTCATCATCTAAATTCCAGGACCCTGCCTGCCCACGCCCAGGAGGTCTGAATCAACGGCAATGAAATCCGTGTCTGTGAGAGGGGAGACCACAGATTGAGGGGAAGGGAGGCAGGCTGAAAAGAGGAGGGCAGGAAGCCTGAGAAAGGGTACCAGTTCAGGACAGTTTAGTCTGGAGCTGGTAGGACCACCTAGTGTTGATTGAATATGGAGGCAGAGAGAGAACAAGGGAGGCACTTCGCAAACTGTCTCCACGTGGGGAGGCTGGATAGGTGCTCCTACTTAATAGCAAACCTCACCCTGGGCACCTGAATGCCATTATATCCAATGACCTTCTGTAATACATAATGTCTGCATTGATTATTGTATATCGTTTAACTCTGGTTGTCATGGTTACATATGGCTAGACTAGGGTAAGCCCATTTCTCTGATAAGTGGCAGGAAGAATCAGGGGACTGAATGGAAATGAAAGTATAGGACAGTTTGAGTGCCTACTGTCCACCAAGGTCTGAGGCAGGACTTTGCTACAGGTTGACTCATTCGATCCCCTGCAAAGGAGTCTGCTTAGAAGGTATCATGAGTCCCATCTTTAGAGATTGGAAGGAGGCCAGGAAGGGGGAATTACCTCACCTACAGTCAAAAACTGGTACACGGAGGAGCTGAAAATGGAACCCGAGGAACCAGTGGGAGCATCTCCGTGCATGGGGAATGGGGAAGACATCCTGGGGGAGAGGAGCACAACGTCCAAGTGGAAAGAACAGGATCTCTGAGGATGGGTGCCCCAGCACTGTCAAGCACCTACAAATGGGGCTCAATCCTCACCCACAAAAGGACATGAAGAAGGGAAGCCTCGAAGATGAAAGGGGTTGATATCATGTTCAAGTCTCAAATGGGACAAGCAGGCTCCTACTTAGCAGGAGATGGGAGAGAAGCAACACATGGAAACAAGATCAGGAGACAAGCCAATTGAAGTTGAACCAATCTTTCAGGGATGCTCAGCTCTTTCTATAAAGCACGGTTCTGAATGGATTCCTATGATGTGTAGTTCAGGAATTTCACCACTTTTATACTATGTGTATTTTCTGTGTTTCCCCCTACCCCAACACACATATATATATATTTTTTAGTGTCTTTTTTTTTTTTTTTTTTTTTGAGAGGCAGTCTAGCTCTGTCGCCCGGGCTGGAGTGCAGTGGCGCTATCTCAGCTCACTGCAAGCTCTGCCTCCCAGGTTCACGCCATTCTCCTGCCTCAGCCTCCCGAGTAGCTGGGACTACGGGCATCCACCACTACGCCTGGCTAATTTTTTGTATTTTTAGTAGAGATGGGGGTTTCACCATGTTAGCCAGGATGGTCTCAATCTCCTGACCTTGTGATCCACCCGCCTCGGCCTCCCAAAGTGCTGGGATTACAGGCGTGAGCCACCGCACTCGGCCTTTTTTTTTTTAAGACAGGGTCTTACTCTGTTGCCCAGACTGGAGTGCAGTGGCACAATTTTGGCTCACTGACAGCCTCAGCCTCCTGGGCTTAAGTGATCCTCTCACGTCAGTGTGCATCACTGCACTGGCTAATATTTTTTGTAAAGTTGAGGTCTCACTATATTGCCCAAGCTGGTTTTGAACTCCTGAGCACAAGTGATTCGACTGCCTTGGCCTTTCAAAGTGCTGTGATTACAGGCGTGGGCCACCAGGCCCAGCCTGATATTTTTTTAAACAAGAAAATACTAACCTTGATCTGATGTTGGAGTTTAACCAAGAGGCAGCTCATAGGACCTGGTTTTCCCCACCGGAATCTCAGGCTGTGACAGGGGCTGCTCCTGGGTCTCTCTGTGGGCACTGTCAAAATGGACCTCAAATGGGATGTGTTCTTGCTGACCTCATTCATCAACCTGCACCTTCTCTGGGCCCCCGGCACTACCATCTACCCTGTTGTTCTTCCAGAAACCTCCCTTCCTATGCCCTTGTCTTGTGGATTTGACTTCGTAAATCTTTCTTGATACCTCTCTCCCTCCCCACCACCACTACCCTAATGGAGACCATCATTTTTGTTTTCTCACTTAGGTTTCTACTCTCTCTGCCTCTATTCTGACACCCTCCTCTAATGCATTCTCTATATAGCAGCCGGCACTGAGTAAGATGTGGTCCTTGTCCACAGCTGAGGGGATAGGACAGACCCAGGCATGCCTGTGATCTGATTGGTGGGCCCCTTACCCAATCTCAAGAGATTATCAAAGGCTTCCTGAAGTGTCACCTGAGTTTAACCAGAAAGGATGAGTGAGAGTTAATGGCAAGGCGGCAGGAAACGCCTCTGCTAAAGCTATGCTGTTTTAGAAGTTTCCTTTAGTAGGCAGGCTCCTTGTGTCACATACACCCTGAGTACCTTCCTTTACTGGATTTCTTTCTCTATTTACAAACGAATTTCTACCGAATTTGTCCCACAGCCACTCACCTCTTCTACCATGTTTCCTTCAACTCCCATTTTTTTTCACTTTAGTTAAAATCTCTTAACATGCTCTAGTGCAAGGAATGACAGTCCTTTACAGTAGGAATCTCTAACATGCGTTGCCAGGAGGGAGGAATGCTCTGGAAATGGGCAGTATGTGTAATTGCACATACCTCAAATATACACATATACATTCACCACACATTCACATACACTCTCTGTGTGTTAGTGCTGTTAACCAAATACTTCCGCTTATCCTTCCTGCACATAGCAGGATTGTACTTATTGCACTTCCCTGCCCCCTTGTAACTTTCTTTGGCCAGTGAGATGACAGTAGGGAGTGATATATGTCACTTCCAGGTAAAAGCTTTAAGAGCCAGGGCTAGATTTGCCCCATTCTTGTTTCCTGCCTTCAGGGTTGAGGAGATGCATGTCCAGTTGCAGCAGCCTGGATGCCTGAGTGACTACGGGAAATAGAGCTCCTAATGACTCATAATGGACACGTTTCGTGATTGAGAAATACACTTTTGTTATGTTAAGCCACTGAGATTTGGGGATTGTCTATTACTCCAGCACAATCTAACTGATCCTGACTGATACACCCTGTCAACCAAGGCTCAGGGGCACCAAGGCCTTTATCCCTGTTGGGTATTCCTTCCATTATGATGGGTATCCTTGCATTCTCCTGGCAAGTAATGAAGCCTATTTGATTCAACCTAAATTCAAAATGCAGTCACAAAACTAGCTATAAAACATGAGAACATTTGCAGGGCTATTTAAAAACATAGCAGCTGGGCGCGGTGGCTCACACATGTAATCCCAGCACTTTGTGAGGTCGAGGCGGTGGATCACAAGGTCAGGAGTTCAAGACCAGCCTGGCCAAGATGGTGAAACCCCATCTCTACTAAAACTACAAAAATTAGCGGGGCGCGGTGGCAGGTGCCTGTAATCCCAGCTACTCGAGGCAGATGCAGGAGAATCATTTGAATCTCGGCGATAGAGGTTACAGTGAGCCCAGATGGTGCCACTGCACTCCAGCCTGGGTGACAAGAGTGAGACTCCGTCTCAAAGAAAAAAAAAAAAAAAACAAAACAAAAAACCCAAAAACACATAGCACAGATATCCTACATGTTCACACTCACCAATGCAGGTCCACAAGCAACCCACTAATGAACCTCCCCTTTCCTGAGAGCAAAATGCCAGTTTCTGCCCAGTATCAGCTCTAGCATTTGTGGGCTAATTTTAGAGGTCCCGGATTGTAGGCCTGATTCTGCCATGTAGTAGTGAATGACCTTGGACAAATTACCTCACTGAGCCCCAGTTCTCTTATCTGTAAAATAGTGATGATAATAAAAACTATGTCATAGATAAGGAAAGTTAACATTTGCACATTTGTTGTATTTGCCACTCTGTGCAGACAGAAGGATGTGTGTGGAAGTGCTTTGAAAAGGGAAAGATCTATGCAAGTATTAGTTGATAATACGGTTAGCCAATACATGACCAAAGAAGGAACACATTCAAAATCAAATAAACCTCCCAATACCTTCAGTCTTTAAAACCAAGCCCAGGTATGGATATCGGGATGTATTTACATTTCTGTAAAAGGTCGCCATACACAAATCTCATTCTTAAATAAGGACAAATTACTTTTTAGCTGAAGAGGAGACAGGTCAAGTACCTCAGAGGAGGTTAGTCACATCAATCATCTGAGAGTTCAGCAGCATCCAACAGTGTTAGTTCCATGTGTTAACTTCTGAAGAAACACAGGCTTGCACATCCAATAATGCTTCCTGCCCCTTTTCTTCCCCGTGCAGAATTAACTTCAGCTCATTTATGGGGTAGGAAAGGCTCCTTATTTCACAGCCCTCCCTCCATGCTCCAGGCATCCAGGGAAATGCCCCTGCCACCCCTATCATCCCTTGAGTCCTTAGGGCTTCCTTCTCTAGCAAGGAGATTTCCCTTTCTAGTCCTGGGGGCAGCAGCACAGCCCGGCTCTGACCTTGCAGGAGCAGTCGCCTAAAAGAGGCTCCACCCTTGGCCGCTTGGGGTGGCTCCCACCAAACCCGCTCCTAAAAGGAGCCTCTCTCCCTTTGTCTACTCTATGTGCCTCGGGGCCTAATCAAGGTCTCTGCCTGGGTGCTGAACTTGCTTCTCCCCCGCTTGCAGTAGTCCAGTGCTGCTCTAACTTGACATCACCTGATGGGCTAATTAAAACAGATTGCTGGGCCTGCCCCCAGAGTTTCTGATTCAGTGGGGTTAGGATGGGGCCGAGAGCTTGCATTTCTAGCCAGTTCCCAGGAGATGGTGATGCTGCCAGTGCTGGAGCTCTCTTCGAGGAACCACTGAGTCTAGGCTAATGCAGCCCCAGGAGAGAGGGGCTCGCCCCATCCCCACTCACACCCCCACTGCTCTCCTGCCCTGAGCGCAGTGTGAATAGGGAATAGCCGCAGCAGCCCAGGAGACTGGAGAACCAGAAGGCAGGACCTGAGGAATTTAGGCTGTTTTATCTTGGGCGCCCCTGACCAGTTTGTGCAAGTCGTAAAGCAGGCAGGAAAGAAGCCTATGGAAGCCTATGGGTCTTCAGTGTTATTGAGGTCTGTCATTCATCAGGTTCTACTCACCTCATCTCTTCATTCAACACAGTGGTTGGGTGCTAGGTCTAGGGTTATGAGGTGAAAGCCAGCGTGCTAGCCCTCCAGGAGTTTGTAGTAACTGGGAAGGAAACCTGCAAACCATTCCAGTGCCCAGCGACGATGAGATAACTGTTCCTAGGGAGGGAGAGTCAAACTTCTGTGGAGGGAGAGTGGGTGGGGCTCTGGAATCGTCTGAGCAGCTGGAGAAGGTTTCATGGAAGAACTGGCACTTATGACTTGCAGGATGAGTGGGAATTTGGCAGGTACAAGGGGTAGCTGAGAACGGGTGGGGTGGGAAGGGTTTTCCCCAGGCAGAACGAATGAGCAACAGGACTGCCGAAGTGTAAGGTTCCAGAGGCTGGGAAGATTTGACAGGCAGCTCTCTAGCCTGGCTGGGTTCCCTCCAACCTCTCTGGTGGCCCCTTCTCAGCTCCTGTCCCTCATGGGCTGGTATTCTCTGGGGCTCTGTCCTGGCAGCCTTTTCCTCGCACTCCCATGTCCACCCCCGATGAGCTCCTCCACACCTGAGGCCTCGCTGTCTGCTCGCTGATGGGGCCCAAATCTCTTTCAAGCCCAGGCCTCACCCCCTCAGTTGCACACTCACCTCCACACGGATGTCCGCATTCCCAGGCATCCTTCCTTTTGCATTTTGTCATGGTGAATGGCACCAGCATTCACCCAGTTACCTGAACGAGAGGGCTTTATGAAATGACCCTCTCGTAGATTGCTGGTGAAGAGTAAATGACACAGTAACTTGCTGGTGCCATTTACCCAGACAGAATACCAGAGGACGGCTGCTGGGCTCCTCGGAAAGTCCACAACTTACTAGCTGAGTGATCTTGGGCAAGTTATTTAATGTTTTCTTATCCATAAAATGGGTTTGATGATAGTACCTACCTCACAAGGTTGTCATATGGATTAAATAATATTAGTTGTTGTCATTCATTGAGCCCTATATTAAGTCCTTTACTTGGATTCCCTCGAAGATGGAGTACCTAGTCCAAGGTCACACTGTTTTAAGTGGCAGATTCAGGTTTGGAAGCCAGAGTTCTCTGGCTCCGGAGCCATCTTCTTCACCTCACTGTCACACTTTCTGAAAACTGTATACCAAATAGGGAAATGCCTATGGTACAATGTTAAAAGAGGATGGCAAATTGTATACTTAGTGTGAGTAAATCCACAAATAGGAAAGGCTACAAGGAAATGTAGCAAATGGTTAAATATGGTTGTAATTTGGTGATTTTTCCCCTCTAGTATCTGTATTTTCCACGTTTTCGTTATATGCATTTTTTATTAAAAGTTACTTATTAAAAATATATCAAAAACAATTACGACTCTACAACCTGTTCCCCTGTTTGAAAATTACACTCCCTTGGTTTTTCGTCTCGGTTCTAGTCTTACCACCCTTAACAGAAACTCTTCATTCCTCCCAAAGGCCATGGTAGGAAGCAGATATTGCAGCCATGTTCACCCCCAGGCACTCCCTCTCTGACAACCTGGACCCTGGAGCAGGCTGTCAAAATCAGAGGGAAGTTCCAGACAGAACCCGGGCTGCTTTACCGCCTAGGGCTTTCTTTCTGGACAGCGCTACTTTAGATCAGTTACTTCTTTTTCTTTCTTTCTAAATAGCCGGCCGAATGCTCATTTTCCAGTTCTGGCTGAGTTGTTAGCTGCAGCCGGGCGGCGACGCCTGCCAGGTACCTGGTTCCGTGAGCACCGCCCAAACTGGTCAGGCCAGTCCGTCCTGTGGCTGTTTCTGCCAGGACTCGCCCAAGTGTGTATGCGCGTGTGTCAGAGACCCACCCTGCTCCCCTGCAACCCAGGTAGGTGGAAAGCAGTTGCAGGCACCAGCCTGGCAGTCAGGCCAGATGGGTGGGGCTGAATTAATCTAACCTGGAATTTCAACTTGGCCTGCACAACAGGTGAGGGAAAAAAGCAGCACAGAGAACGGGCAGTTTGGCAACTTGGAAATATTCCTGAGCCTTGCCCCTTACCCTCTGCCTGGAACATAGCCCAGGGTGACTCTTCAAAGTGTCTGCGCCGGGTTTTAGGGCTCAGTCGCGCCACGGCCCCCTCGAGGCTGTCCGAGCCCCTCCTGAACGCTGTCCTCCTCAGTGACCCTCCGCGACGCGCCCGTTCCCCCTCCTCCGGGAGGCAGGGCGGGGGTATCGGATTAGTCTTTGTTTTCGACGCGAAAGAGCCGAGCGCGGCGCGGGGGAGGCTGGCGATGGCAGGGCCGTGGGGTCCACCTGGACAGGGCATTCGGCCGTGACCCCTGCGAGGGTGCCCTTAGCCTCTGCCCCCGAGCAACCCCTTCTTGCCGGCCAGGCTGACTCGGTACGCAAACGCGCGATGTCCCCCATTGTCCTGCCTCGGAATGAGCCAGCAGCAGCTGGGACAGGGGGGTCAGTCGGGCCCGGCGCTCAGGCCTCCCAGGAGCGCCGGGGCCGTCCCGGACCGATCTGGCCCGCAGGGAGTGGCAGGAAGTGGGGACACCGAGCGCGGCTCGGCCGAGGGCCTAGGTTGGAAGGTCCGCGTGCCCCACCCCGCCTCGCCGGCCCGGGCTGCAGCCCCGCCGGAGGGCGAGGGTGGCCAGCCCGAAGGGGGCGGCCGTGTCCCGGGAGGGCCGACCGCGTGGGTGGGAGCCACTGCAGGTGCAGAGAAGCGGCGGCCGGGCCGGAGCCTGCCCCAAGCCGCTCGCAGGCCGCCCGCCCGACCCCTCCCCTCCGCGGGAAACACCCCCCTCTCGCCCGGCCCGGGGCTCGGCAAGGCCGGCGGGGCTCGCCGGGGCCGCACGTGTGCGCCCTCCCGGGCGGGGGAGTCCCCGGGCGAGCACGTGCCGCGGTGCGCGGGGGGCGGGGAGTCCCGCGGACGCCTTCATTGCTGCTGCTGCTGCCGCCGCGGCCGCCGCTGCCTCTTCCTTCCTCCTGCGCCGTCCCCTCCTCGGCCCGGGCGGGGGGCTCCGCGCGCCGAGCTCGGTCGGGCCGGGCGCTCCGGGAGGCCGGGCGCCCAGGCGGCGGCGGCGGCGCCGCGACGGTGGGTGGCGCGCGCGGCGCCGGCGGGACTTTGCCCCTTTGTGCGCTCCGCACCCGGAGGCGGCGGCAGGTCGGTGCAGTCGGTGCTTTCCGGCTCGGAGTGGGGAGGGCGGCGGGGAGGCGCTGGGCCGGCCCGGGGAGGGAGGGGCGGCCCGGAGCCGGCGGGGGCCGCTCCTCTCGGTGCAGGGGGCCGGACTGGGGTCTGCGGGGCGCTGTGCGCGGTGAGAACCGGCGGGGGTGGCAGGGCGGGGGGCGGGGCTGCGAAGCCGCCAGAGCCGAGTGGCGAGGCCCCCGACAAAGGGCCCGAGCGGCGGCGCGCGCGCGGCCGGCCGCGCTCGACGCGCACCCCCTCCCCGCGCCCCTCGCGGCGCGGGCCGCCCTCGAGTCGGGCTGGCGGCTGCGCTCGGCGCGGCGGCGCCGCGCAGCGCGGGCTGCCCCGCGCGCGCCCGCCACCCTCCAGGCGCTTCCTGCGGCGGCGCCGGGGCAGTCCCGCGGAGCGAGGGCTCTCAGCAAAACTTTATTTTAACGCTCAGCTCCCGGAACAACGGGAGGCCCGGCCGCGCCTCCAGGCCGGGTGTGTGGGGGAATTTGGTGAACTCTCACCAGCCGTGGGGGATGGGAGGAGGGCAACTTTCTTAGAAATCTCACCTTGACCACCCCCTTGAATTCGTAGTCCAGGGCTGCCTCCCTCAGATAGGGAGTGGGTGCTCGGTGCGTCCTGCCTGAGGTTCTGGGCAGGACCTCATTTGAGCAAGCCCCATCTCTTCCCCCATTTTCTCTTCCCAGAAGCAGGAAGAAGTGACACGTGAAAGTTGTCCCTGAGCTCCGAGTGATGCGCTTCCCCTTTCTGTCTTTTTCAGGCAGCACTGCCTTCTCCAGCGTCCAGACCCTGGAGGAAAAATACCAGGAGAAACTGCTCACTCAGCTCTGCCCCCACCACACCCTACCTGCTCACCTCATGCCTGGGTCCAGGGTGGGTGAGGGTGAAGAACCCACCGGGCCAAGATGATCCCTTTTCTGGGGACTGCTGCTGGTGTCCTTCCCCAGATCCCGGGCCCCAGCAGGTGGGAGAGTGGCCCCCTACGGAGCCCGATCGGACTGCTGCAGAGGAGGTGAAGAGGGGTTGAGAAGAGGCATCCATCCACGAGACTGAAGCCACTTGCCTTCATCCTTGTGATTCTTGGCTGTTCTAGGCGAGAAGGACCTGTTGGTGGCCTTTGGAGGTGGCGGGAAACTGGACTGTGGTTCTGCCCCAGCACCTATGCCCCCACCTCTGGCAGCATCATGAGCCAGTTTCAGGTGCCCCTGGCCGTCCAGTCGGACCTGCCAGGCCTTTATGACTTCCCTCAGGGCCAGGTGATGGTAGGGGGCTTCCCGGGGCCTGAGCTCTCTATGGCTGGGAGTGAGTCCCAACTCCGAGGGGGTGGAGATGGCCGGAAGAAACGGAAACGGTGTGGTACTTGTGAGCCCTGCCGGCGGCTGGAAAACTGTGGGGCTTGCACTAGCTGTACCAACCGCCGCACGCACCAGATCTGCAAACTGCGAAAATGTGAGGTGCTGAAGAAAAAAGTGGGGCTTCTCAAGGAGGTAAGCTGGCCCTTGCTAGGCTACCCTGTCCCTTCCTTGAGGGCACGATGATCATGGGGGTCTTGTTCAAGCAAGGCTCGTCCAGTTGAATCCATTCTCTCATTTCTGATTCTCTTGGTCCAACTTTAAGTAGGAGTGTAACTGACATGTTTGGGCTACTTTGCAAGGCTGACAATTTGTATGAGAGTAACTGGGTAGAAGGGGGATCTGAGCAGGCACCCTAATCTCTGATGTTTGCATTTGATGCGGGACTGTGATGTCTACCTTTACCTCTAGAAGTTTCTTGTCCTGCTGCTTGAAGCCTCAAATGTTGTATTTCAAGCTCATGCTAATGCTTGGATGACTTGGGCTTTGATAGTGTAAGATAAGGGATGGAAGCTGATGGATTTGGAGACAAAGTTTTGGATTGACAGGGTGGTTTTATGCTGCCCTGATGGAGTGGGATGTTTCTTTCATGGTTTTTCTCAGATGGCCAGAGAGCCAGTTGAAACCGTTTGGGAATCTAATGACAGACTGATGATTTGGGTTCTCCTATCTTAGTTCTTCTTGCAGTCAAAAACTTTATTTCTGTGTTCTCAGGACTTGGCACAGTTCCTTGGCAGGTAGTAGGCACTCAGATACTAATTGCATGAATGGATGACATGCTTTTGAGACACTATCAACCCCAGGGAGGTGTACTCCCTTTATTTGGGGGTAGTAAGGTGGAGAAGGGAAGGAGATTTGGGATGAGAGCAGGCAGGGTGAGAAGGCAAGGGAGAGACGGTGACCTTGCATTGGCCGTCTTTCCCTCCCATTTTAGTGGCGGACTGCCGGCTTGAGGTTGGTGACAGCCGAGACAGCAGAGAGTTGGCAGAAGTAGGGCTGAGCAAAGTTGAGCAGCTTAGGAGGAGCGGTGTAGCCGCTGAGGTCGCTCCAGGCAGTGGAACTGGCGCTGGACAGAGATGGAGGCCTGTGCTGTCTTCGAGCTCCCCCTGGCTCTGCCACTCATTTGTCCAAGGGTCCAGACAACTCGGGCCCCTTCTCTGGGACTGTTTTTTCCTTGGGGGAAGTGGAGGAGTTGTACTTGATGTCTTTCAAAGTCCCTTCCAACTGGGCTGGGAGCTGCTTGCTTCTGAGGACTCGGGTCCCTGTGACTTTGTTGCGCTGGCGGCTCGTGCTCAGGGTTTCCCTGACCGCTGAGTGCAGAGCCGCACAGCGAGCTGGTGGGACTGGTCCTGTGGCTAGGAAGAAAGACTCAAGTGTTGAGAACAGGGAGGTGGGGTTGCTGGATATTTCTGCCTCTTCTCACCTTGTCTTGTCCGTGCCCTGTGGAAGCTGTATGTCCTGACCCAAGGACTGCAGACACAGGGCCCTGTTTCCCCCGTCTCTTGTTAAAGCAGACATCTGGATCACATATGCAGCCCCCAGCCCCAGCCTGGGAGACTTCTCTGTTGCTGGTGTTGGGGGTAGTTATGGTCCTGCTGGCCCAGTGCCACATGGGTCGCTACTGAAAGCAGGGTGGTATGAAGTGGGGGAGGCTTTACTTCTGGATGTAAGAGCTGGTGCTTTGGTGTAGGGAGGAGCTGCTGAGTCTACTTTGTAAAGCTTGATTCCTTTGCGCCTTTGCTTCTAGCATTGCTTTTCTTCCCCAGCCCCCATTGTCTTGCTCAGTTCCTCCCATAATTAAACCGGAGGGATGAGGATGCTCAGCTTCCTGGGCTAGATGTTCTTGGAAGCAGTGGCCCTTGTGAACTAAGTTGAAGTGCTGCTTTTGGCAACAACAGAACATACCTGAGTGAAAGGGGCTGGGAGTGAGGCCAGGGCCTTGTCATCCTGTGTGTAAGCTGTCGGCCCAGGCTGCCGGGTGGTCTCGGTTAAGATATCATGGATCTGGGGTGGCTGAGGCTTAGAGACAACCCTGCTGAGAGATGCCTGCATCCCTATTGACCTTACCCTGGCCAACTACCTCTCTCAACTCCAGGGTCAGGTAAGGTGAGGCTGGACGGCCTTGGGTGTCTGAGGACAGAGGGTCTACATGCTGATCTGTGGATCAGTAGAGTTCTGTGTTTCTAGAGAAACAAAAGGGGACAGTGGAATGAGTTTTTTTCATAAAGCTAACTTTCTGTGACTTAAAGAGCGATACTGTTTTTGTAATGATAGGTTCTTTTCTACTTCTCGATGTTTAAAATATGCTTTCTTAAAATGTGCTTTATGAAGGTGTGATAGAAAGTAGACCTTTTTTTTTTTTTTTAAGTCTTTGGTAAAATACAAAATGGTAACCAGTGCCTCTCTCTGAAAAAAAAAGGTTTTTTTTTTTATTTTTTGGTCCATGAAAGCTGAATGCCAGAGAGTCACTGTCTAGGGTATACTGCATTTAACGGGCATATCTCTGTCATAATTGAAAAGCTGAGAGGTGCCTGAGAGACTGCCAGAGTGGATGAGACCCTAAGACCAGCCCAGCATTTAGCAGATACTGGGGACTGCTGGGACCATAACCATTGGATCTTAGCAGCCGTGTGGCAGAGGGAACATGTTCCAAGATTGGGGAGGTTGTTTTGGCCATGACTGTTCAGGTGGGGTGGGACGCAGTATCCTAGGAGCCTCTCGGACATCAGACCATCTACCTGCATTCCTGCTGCGTGGCACTTCCTCCTCTGTGAGAGCACTGTACTCTTCTGGGAGCTCTTCCTTACTTCCCTTCTGTCTCCATCTCTCCTAGTTGCCTTTAGGGCTTCCTTTGAACTGTCTGCCTGCAGTTACTTTATATCATCCTGTAAGGAGGAGATTATCTTGGGTTTTCCATCTTCTTTCCCTGCTCCTCACTCTTTTTCTCTGGGCTTTGTGGCTGGGGAGGAAGGGTGCAGGGGAATCCCTCAGAAAAGAAGTTCACCATTTTAGGACTAAAGACAGGCTTCCCCCAGGGATGGGCCTTCCTGCTTTAGGGGGAGGTGACTACTTCTCTGGGTCCTAATGTGAGGTTGGGGCAGGTTGTTAGTAGCTGTGATCTTCCTTCCTATTCCAGGAAGAATTTAGAGGAGGCTGTTTGATTTCATATTCTTTTTACCCGAGTGGTGGCTTGGTAGGACAATGAAGATGACTGATTAGAAAAGTAGGGTTTGGTGACTATGGAAGCACACTAGGTAGGGCTCAGAACCCAGAGTAAGTGCTGTGCCCTTCCTCTCTTGGGCAACCAGTGCTCCATCCCTTCTGTGTCCATTTTCTCAATTGTAAGATGGGAGTAACCCTTCTTTGTAGGGTTGTCATGAGGATTAAATGAGATAAAATATGCATAATGTCTGGCACATAGTAGGTAATCAATGCATGATGACAAAACATTCCTAAACATGTAGAAAAGGATGAATCTTTATTTATGCATAAACAACTGTGCATTAGTCTTCGAGCTGTAAAGATGCAATACAAGGGCTAGGTGTGGTGGCTTACTCCTGTAATCCCAGAGCTTTGGGAGGCTGAAGCAGGAGGATCACTTAAGACCAGCCTGGGCAATGTAGCAAGACCCCATTGCTTAAAAAAAGAAAAATTAGCCAGGCATGGTGGCATGTGCCTATAGTCCTAGCTCCTGGAAAGACTGAGGTGGGAGAATCGCCTGAGCCCACAGTGGGCCATATTCGAGCCACTGCACTCCAGTCTGCGTACGACTCCAGATGCAATACAAATTAAGCATTTATCTCAAGGCATTCCCCTCACTTGCTCATAGAAGAACCGTGGGGCAGAACCGTGGGGCAGAACCGCGGAGCCAGGCAGAGGGAGGGAGGACTTTGCCAACCTCTGTGCTGGGGGAGGAGGCTAGACATCAAGGAGTCACTGTGGTCCTAGGCCTGACTGAAAAATTGCCCATGGGTGAGGGAAGTAAATAACTGTTAGAGCAGGAGAATGACCTTAAAAAATGCATAGAAAAATGTATGCATAAGTTTGAAAGCATGACTGAGGATATTATGGGTGAAAACGAGAGAAATGGAAAGATATAGGTTATGAGAATACTTTCTAGCCCTCAGCCAAGTGGATTTACAGCTTGAAACAGATCTCTGCCAGATTTGAGTCAAAATAACTTGGAATTGGGAATCTTTCAACAATATCAGAACACCTGGTTAATCCTTGCCCATCCTGAAGATGGAGGCTGTGGAGAGGAATGCATTCAGGCTGGTCTCGGCATCAAAGGGAGAATTGACTAGAGAAGTGGAAGTGATGAGAATCTTTAGAGAAGGGGACCCCATCTGAGCATTTGTCAAGCTTGAGAGGTTGGGCAGGGAGGAGTATTTACCATAGTCTTTAGAATATCATCTTTCAAATGCAAGCAGTTTTTAACCCCACGGGCCACGGATTCTAAATGAAAATTAGCTGGAGGGATAGAATTGCTTGTTAAAAAGCAAAATCTGGCTGGGCATGGTGGCTCATGCTTGTAATCCCAGCACTTTGGGAGGCCAAGGCAGGCGGATCACCTGAGGTCAGGAATCCGAGACCAGCCTGACCAACATGGAGAAACCCCGTCTCTATTAAAAATACAAAATTAACCAGGCGTGGTGGCAGGTGCCTGTAATCCCAGCTCCTCGGGAAGCTGAGGCAGGAGAATACCTTGAATCCGGGAGGCGGAGGTTGCAGTGAGCTGAAATTGCGTCATTGCACTCCAGCCTGGGCAACAAGAGTGAAACTCTGTCTCAAAAAAAAAAAGAAAAAAAAGAAAAGGAAACGCTGGTAGAATAGTCATGAATGATAGCTTCAGGAGAAAGGTGTTGGTGGGACTGGGGAAGGACTGAGCCATCTGTGTGGCTGTATGGGCTGTTCTCTAGTGAGTGAGGGGGTGAAAGGCCAAGCACATTATGTGGAAAGTGGAGACATGGCACTGAAGCAGAGTCAGGAGTGTGGTCTAAGCCCTTAGAGGAGCATCAGGGAGTCCAGTGGCTAGAATGTGCTAAGGCTGTTGGAAAATGCTGATGATAATGTTTTGTATAAGGTTCTAACAAGAGTGAGAAGGAAGAGGTAGGCTTACAACTTTCTAGGGATGG